ATGCTTTCTAACTCTAGTTTGTGTGCAGTAAGCCCATATAAGCTGTTGTATCAAGTGGAAGATTTATCAGACCAATACAAAGAAGCTATCGATATTTTTTAAACTGCAGTAGAAGCCAAACAAAAATAATGTATTTACAGTAAGTATCAAGTTGCCAAAGAGAGTAACAGTAACTCAAATGCCCCGATTGAACCCTTTGGCTGGGAGGCGTATTGGTGATTTTTGTTGTCATTGTAACAGCCTGGTACTGACTTGATGCCTCCAGTGTTTTTCAAGCATCCGACGTGCACAGACGCATACTGCATAGCACAGCTCATGTCTTTGTCACATGATGCACATTATCCTTTCCTTGTGTGGGTGTTTTCTCCATGTTTGCACATCTGTGGTTTATGAACCCTAAAACCCAGATTGTAAATTCCCATACCCCTGCATCTCCCAAGTGACATCATTGTACTGTGGGAGCGGTCCGGGTGCTTTTGGAGGTCAGTACATGATGAGGCCCCTAAATTCCCCTGCTATATACCCCCACCCCAAGGCAGGAAACACAAAACAGATCTCAACCCCCAAACTCGGAATACATTTGAGGAGCCCTTTTTCAATCTCACTGTATGTTTCTTCTTTGTCGTACTTGGCTAAATATATAATCGTTCCAAAGTTGCCGCGTCTTCACCACTCTGCTCTCTCGGTAGCAATTGTGTGGCACCCTTTCTGACATACCCAGAGTAGTTGGTCTAAACTGAAACTCTTGATGCGGGTGGCAAGAGTGGTATTTGCATTGAGCTCAGACAAAATCATGCCAGTGGCCATCTTTTCTTCTTATCTTACTGGCTCCTTTGCAATATGATGAGCACTACCTAGATAGTCATTTGAACTCAAATTATTTTACCTACAAATGCAAATACACAACAGAACACACAGAAAATAAATGTGGGTATGTGGTATGTGTTTCTAGATGACAGCTTGAATGTGTTTGTAGGTACAGGAGAGTGAGCACGCTCGCCACAATGACTTATTCGTTGTCATGTGGTAAGGCTGTGAATTATCACGTATGTACAGGGAGCCCATACGCCCATCTCATGGTCACTGGTAGACCGTCAACTCTGTGATTCACTTTTTCAGTCACTTTCTCTTCACACACACACACACACTCTCACACACAGGGCCATGCTATCCCACCCCCATCCTCCCTCAGCTGTCCGTTAAAAGCCCATCTATCTCTGCGTTTTAATTAGGGCCTCCCCTATTTATGGCTGAATGGCCGCTTCATTAAGGGAGAGGCTTGGAGATTCACATCCGGATCTGTACAGCTTGTGACACACAGCAAGGCGAGAGAGTCTGTGTGTGTGTGTCTGTGTGTGTGTAAGAGGGACAGAATGGGGTGTGGGGGTTGCTTCAGGGGTATTGATGACGTAATTTCCCCTGAGGGGTGGACCTCCCATCTGTGAGTGGAATATAGAGGATTTGTCCAAAGTAAAAGCAGACTATATGGGACAAGGAAGCAAGATGTATACAATTAAATGTTAATTTTTTTTATGGCCACAATCATATGCATCTTATTAAATGTTAATGTGTTGTTGTTGTTTTTTTCTTTAGCTCATATGAATCTACAATCAACATATGTCAGTATATATGAATATATGGCCTGAATAGCAATTAATATTCAGATTTGTAATCGTATTTAACCAAGAAACACAAAGTCAAACAATGCACAGGCTTGATTCTTCCAAAAATTAGATCTCTTTTTTTTTTTTTTTTTTTTTTTTACATAAGCTGCCAAAGCCTACATCAAAACTGGATGCTAAATCTCAGATCAGTGCTTTTCTTAAGCCTAACCCCTGTGTACCTTTTGTACTGGAAATTGCAAGGGGGGGATCTTGGCTCACACATGCTGTAGTGGGTGTGGTCAGCTATGTGTTCACCAATGACAGTTGATTGCCCAACCCCACCCTGTGGTGTGCAGATCTCTGGATGGTCTGTGCCTGTGTCCTAGAAGGAGAACGGTGGGGTCAGATGGCGACGCAGGCCACCAGCTGCTCTCCTTGCCTTTATTTTCTGTGTCGCTAAGGCTGCACCAGGAAGAGGGCCGTTTGTGACTTATGAAAAGCTAAACCATGTCATCATTCAGTATGGCTGTCAGTGTCTTTGCATGCCCTATCTTGTTAGTCATGCCGATAGTCATCTACTTTTTCTTTGCTCCTTAATCATGTTCACATCACTAACAATCCCCTTCATTTGTCTGGTTTTTTCTTTTGTTTTGGTTTTGTGTTTTGTTTTGTTTTTCTTAGAGTATCCACAGTATTGTTTTCCCGGCCAGCTCAACATTCCCTTCTATGCTCATTACTGTGCTCTGTTTTGTTTTTATTCTTTTAATGGATGCACATATGTCCGTAGGACTAAGGGTGAATATGCAGGCTCTAAATTAACTGAAAGAAGCTAACTCGAGAGTCTGATGGCTTTTGTTGTAAGTAACACATTTTTACATGATGCAGTTTTTTCCCATTGTTTTCCCAAAGCTAACAATTTAAGCCACATTAACATTGTTTTTAAGGCTTTAATTCAGTGCAAAAATTATTTTAATGTTCTAGCGTCTTCACAAGTCCTGCATCACAGTGCTGTGTCACTAAATTGTGGGTGGTGGCTGATCGCCATGGCAACTTAGAGGCTGTTGAGAAATGACTCCATATAATGAATGTAAGTCTGTGTGCGTGTTAGCTCATATAGCAAAGCTGGCCATGATGATGCAATTCCTTGGCACAATGCTGGCACTCTAGTCGTTCTATCAGCTCTAATGCAGCCTGCCACTGTGGACTACACTTTCTCACACAGTGCAAACACATTGAACTGCTTCCTCTTTTTAAAAAAAATAAATAAAACGACAACAAAAGCAAAACAAGTATCGCTTTTATACAGTGAGAAGAACGCACTTGTGTCAGCAAGATGTGAGTAAGTGTGTGTGTGTTTAAGCCTCCTCGTGGTTTTAACTTTGTGCACTGCTGTTTATCTTTTTGTTGGCATTTTTCCTCACTTAATCAATCAGATATTCCCTGTTACTTAATCCAGAAGTGTGATTACCTACAACACAAGAACAGCTCATGAGGACAGCTGGGAGAAAGAAGTTTCTTTTTCCGCTTTTGCTTTTCTCCTTTCCAAGACTCTGCTCTGACCCAGTTTTCTGTTTCTTCTCTAGTTCCCATTGTTTTCACCAACTTTTTTTTCCTTTCTCATTTTATTGCTGGATGCTCTGATATTTTGAATCATATTAGTACTGCTCGCTCTCTCCTGGACATCTTGGGGAATGGAGACTCATTATCTGTTTCTGTGTGTGTGTGTGTGCCTGTGTATGCCTGTCTCAGTAGTAAGGGTGTGTCTCCAAAACCAATAAACACAGAGGGATTTAATGGGATTCTTGAAAAACCAGAAAGTGCTTTTTTAAAAACTGTGTTGTTGTTGTTGTTATTATTATTATTATTATTATTATTATTATTATTATTATTATTATTATCGTTATCTTGAGATGTGGTGGAGTTGGAGGTGCACGTATTAACACGTGCAATCTACTACATACATTTTAGTGGTTGTTAGTGACAATGTTATTTCATTCTTAACCCCACCGATGGGCAAAGCAGCTGCAGTCAGAGGGACCTTGAGGGACAACATGTTAACTTGTCTGTACCCATCTTAAATTTTAGGTGTGCAACAGTAACATGTAGCTTTTTAAAAAAAAAAAAGAAGCCAGAAGGGGCAAATAAACATGCAGAACCACCAGTGATCAAGCTGACTTTAAGCAGTCCTCGAACTTGAGGTTGTAGGTCCCTTTTGAACTCCTTATGTTACTTCCCCTCTCCCCGGGGGCAGAGAGGAAGCAGGAGCAGATGTGTTAAACGGACACTGTGACAACACTGCCAGTCTGTAAGTTCCTGTACCCGTCCAACTCAGCAACAGAAGCCACCCTTTGATGTGCCCATCATGTGCGGGTTCACGCAGCTCCTGATTACAGCATCACGCAGTTCTTCCCCTTCTCACATTTACAGTCACTATCACTATTTCCTGTGTCAAAAACAAATGCACTTTGACTGCCAGGTTCCTCACAATATTAGAGTCCGTGATGTCTGTGAAAGTAGTGGTAAACTAAACTAGTGACCGGTGTTATTTATGTTGCTTTTCTAAATTAGTTATATGCATAGGTTTGTGATGGCTACATGGGTTGGTAAACACAGGGTTACTCATCTGAGATTAGAAGGAATTGTTTACAACCATGACAACCAGGCAGGAAAACTGTACTATTACCAGCATATCGTATAATATTCTTCAAGGATGTTTCTGTATCATTTCTCTCTCTCTTTGTTCTGCACCCAGTGCAGCCACACACTAGGTGTTTATCCCGGGCTTCTTTGTTATGTAACTGACATCATTTAGCTCCTGGGGATGCAAAAATATCGACCTCTTGTGGTGACTGTAACTCATTGCGTCAATGCTTTTGAATGCATGTTTTGATTTTTGAGGACACACTCCCACTGCCATTGTGTCTGGCACATGCAGTGTGATGCGTCTTTGGAACAAGTAACTGTGATTGGCTGTAAGATCAAAAGCAGCATTCTTTAGTCCTTATCAGCCCATTCTTTTCAGTCGAAGAAACACCTGATTATGAGTTTGAGCCATTCGTCAGACCGGGAAGCCGTGACTTTATTGGATGGTATATTCAGACAATCATTTAGTAGTCGAGTAATTAATAACTTTACAGTTTTAAAGCTAACAGAGGTCGTGAATACATATTGTATTAATAAAGGTAAAATGTAAAGATAAAGGTAGCATGACATTTGATAAGTGAAACATTGTGCATATGATCTGTTTCTTTGTTAGAAGTGAAAACATAGTCATAAACTGCCAGAGGTGTGTATTAAAAGTGAATGGAACAATGAAGGTAAGGGAGGGGGCAGAGAGAGAGGGAGAGTGAGAGAGAGGGCGAGCGAGCAAGGGAGGGAGGGTTTGTGTGAGCTTAGCTGTAAAACAGACTTTGAACTCCAACCAGCTCAGTAGCAGACAGCTGTGCAGAACAAAGCACGACTCCTGCACGAGGCTTTACGAGATACCAATTAAAAAAGGGAGCCAGAGAGGGAGAGAGGACGGCGTGTTTTAATAGCTTTTCTTGGAGAATACATCCCAAATCAAAATAACAGAGATGGCTACAATGTTCAGATACCCCGTCTTTCCTCATCTGCAGGGTGAGTTTATCATTTCATTTTCAATTTATGTATTTCTTTTGCTTTAATTCAAACAGTAGCTCAACAGTGAAGTAGTGAGTCCTTTTTATTTTAGCTTGCAGAGTCGGTGTTTTAAAGAAACACAAGTATCACTCAGTGCATTTGTTGTATGTTTGTCATGCGGCTGGATCCTGGGATTTTTATGCGCATCGTTCCGAAGTTCCTGATTAGTCATTCTTTGAAGTGGAGCACGTGAGCCATGAGTTCAGATAGGTAGATCGATAACAGTAACTGCTAGAAAAGGTATGGTGTTACATGCATACATTGCAACTTGTGAGAGATATTGATCAAACTTGGAGTAAATCACAGCTATAACTAGAGCACTGCTAAATGAAGAAATAAGTAAAAATATACACCGTGCTGACCCTGAGTACCCCCTGCCATTTCTGTAGTTTATAATGGTTCATAATGAGGGTTTTTGACTTGCTGGTTATGTGTATGAAAATAGGTGAACACTCCATTCGCAACTGTTGCTAGAAATTTCTACTTTATGGTTTCTGCTCCTTCTGTAAAGTTGACCAAAGCAAACATCTGTTCACATCTGGAGGAGTTCACAGATGTGACTTGGTTTTATTTCAAGCCCACAGACAGCTGTAGGCTGATTCTCTGGGCTAATTCTGTGCTTTAGTAGTTTCTGGAATATTTACATGACACTGTGTGTCAGAAAGATATTAGGCTTTTAAGGGCTGTACCCATTACTGTCCCTTCATTAATATGCATATGTTTCTTATATCATCCATCGAGGGGATGAAATGTTCCTCTTCACTCAGTGTGGAACACTTACGTAATTCCAGTGCTGAGTCCCTTCATCACTATAGAGACCAGTGAAAAACCCTGAGCTCATGCCAGAGGATCTGGCAGATGCTCATATCCTGATTTGCAAGAAGTGAAATGATTGCCTTTGTGACACAGAGATTTCTCATACTGTGTTTAAATCAGTCTCTTTTTTTTCTCTTTTTTTTTTTCCCCACTGTTGATTTAGATCCCTGTGATCCTGGTTTGTCGCTGTCAGCAGGGAGGAGTGTCATGGCGGAACCGGACTATATGGACGAAGACTGTGATGAGCTCATCAAGCCCAAGAAACTGATCAACCCAGTGAAAACCTCCCGTAATCACCAGGACTTGCACAGAGAGTTGCTCATGAACCAGAAGAGGTCAGCAGATAGAAAAATACCTTGAATCGCACTCCTAGCTGTCACTTGGTGACCACATGTGGAAAATCCAAAACATTTTTTCAGAGAGATTATTTACCTCCTTTTGTTGATACCAACAGCAAGATTATATTTTATAATGGCAGTTAAGTGTTAAACAAAGATAGCTGCACCCCTATGCCTTTAATAGTCATAGCCATAAAGCAATATTTGGGATTTCCTTATGCTTAATACTGCCAGTATCGAGATAGATAATACTTTATGGTGAGAGTCCATTGAAGTCCAATAGTTTCTAGTATGACAATAAAACATTCCTGTTTGTTTCTGGGTGTAACATAAACTTGTGATAAGAAGGAACGGTTCAGGTTCCACATTCAGGATAATTTAGTTTTATCTTCACTAATGGAGGATGAGTGAATCCAGTAACCTTGCCACTTTCTGCTAATTCCTTTTTGTATCCATGTCAACGACACTGATGCTACCGTATGCTACTGCTGTCAGTGTGGTTGACTTCACTGGTCCCTCTAGTTCCCAGCAGCAGTGTAATGTGAGGCTTGGGATATAAAACATTTCATAGAAGCTATTATATATAAAACCTTTGGCAAATATTGGTTATGTAAAAGTCAGAGATGTATGCCATGGAGGAAAATCCAGTCGTGGCTACTGATATTACACGAAACAAAGGATTTTATGGGTCTGTAAGTCTCTGAGCATCTATCAGTGTATGCATACGTTTATATCTTAGCCTATTTAAATGCACATACTTACTGGGGCCCATGATTGCCCTTTCAAACTCGATGTTTGTATTTTATCACACCATACAGCGCCAGCAGCTTTGTGCCTGAACTATAAATAGCCCTGTAAACACGCATGCTGGTGACAGCTGTTACATCACAGCAGCAGTTCTCCGGTCTGTCTTAAACCAGAGTGTAATGATTAAAGCAGGGCATTTAAGAATCAGGAGGAAACTGGCCAAAGAGAAATGAAATTTTAAAAAAAAATAGAAAATAAAGATTTCGGCTCAAACTGCTGCAAAATATTGCTTCTAATAGTCTAGACAGAGGATTTTGACAAGCATCAACCAGCTTTAAGGGGGAATAAACTTTAATGATTGTGCTTTTATCGTGTGCTGAGGTGTAGAAGGCTGGCCTGCAAAGTGGATTAGTCACAGTGATGAAAGTGGGATGGTTGGATGGATGCATGGATGGATGCTTGTAACGGAGAGGAAAAAAAATATGTTATGTAACAGAGATTACAAAACTGTCTCTAGCTGAGGGCCTTTCTCTGCCTTGGCTACCTTAACTGTAATGGCACCTTCCTACACAAACAAAGGAATTTGAGAAATTCAGCCATCACGACTGGCCAGGCATTCGATCAGATGGAGGTAGTGATGTGTGGGATTTTGAACACGCATTCCTCTCAGTCTGCCTGAGGGCATGCATTTGGTGGTGGGGTGTGTGCATAGGTTAGTTATTATGTAAACGCTGCCCACGGTGAGAGAAGAATGAAGTCAGCATCTCTGTACTGTAGCCTGTCTTACTGCTGTCGCCGACCTTGGCGTCCACCCCTTCTGCGTGAGGGTACTTAAAATCAGCCCACCCAGTCACATCTTGGGCCTTCTGCCCTGCTTCAGCTCACTAAGAGCTTTCTAAGACCCTTACTGACGCAAAACAGGGCATTTAACTGAAGCAGTGACTCTTGATAAAACAGATCCTTGTTGTAAATTAACTCCCACTGCTTTTTGGAACACCGTGAGCTCAGTTATGTAATCGTCTTGATTTAGTAATGCATTTAATTACGGCAGTGCTGTTGCTAAAATGTATCCAGGTAAGGGACGCTGTGTTTTCTTTGAAGGCCATCTGTGGCCTGTGTAGATTCAGGCTATCATAGTGAAAGAAAAATCAGTTGGAGTGTTGGGTAATCTGCATTAAAGGGTTTAAAAAATTAAATCAGTAAAGGGCATGGAGATTGGATATTTGACCAGGCACAGTATTTTTTTTTTCCCTTCTTCTGTGCCACTTTATTTGCCCTTAATCCTTTGATCTTTATTAGTTTTTGCCTGTTTATAGATGACAATCCATCTGTTCCTCTTTCTCTTAAATATCCCCACGTCCCAAACTTGCTGTTACCCCCTCCCCCCAAACAACCTGTTTTTTTTTTGTGTGTGTGTGTGTGTTTTGTTTTTTTTTTTCCTGTCATGATTTTGGAAGAGCTTAGCAGATTACATAATATTTTGCATCTTTGCTCCTCAGGCTTTTACTTTACTGAGATGTCTCTATCCTATTTTCACTGAGTTGTGTAACAGTCCCACTGGTTTTGCAGTGACTTAAGACATTTTCCGTGTGTGGCGTATGCTTCCCTGCAATCATTCTTGATACTAAAAGACCAAAAAAAAAAAGGCAACTGGGAAAAGAAATAAACAGCCAAGTTCTCACCCATGGTTTCAGCTCACTCTTTCAAAGTCATTTCCTGTGTTGGCAAAAATCATCTTATGCAATTCTTTTTGATGCGGAGCAATCTGCGATTTGCTGGGAATCAGAACTTTCCTGTAACATGATTGCCGTGTTTAATCCGAAAGTCTAATACTAATCTGCATGTCAAAACAGAATAAGGTCATATATTACGCATGAATTTGTATGCCAGTCTCCTTCTGAATGAGGCTTTGCAGTGACATCAGCATGTGTTGATTGAAGCTGACATGCTGTTTCATTGATGGATTCTGCACAGGGGTCTGGCTCCTCAGAACAAACCTGAGCTCCAGAAGGTTCTGGAAAAGAGAAAGAGGGACCAAGTTCTCAAGCAACAGAAAGAGGAGCAAGAAGCCCACAAAAAGAGGAGTGACTTGGAGATAGAGCTCATGAAAAGACAACAGAAACTAGAGCAGGTAAATGATTGATAGACATTGTTTCATTTACACACTCATAAATCCCAATGTGTACAATGGCTTTTTCAAAACTTTATCTGAGTTGCTAAGCTGTCCGTATGTGTTTTGGAAAAACTTGAGTTTCGTGTAAATGTAAATGTGAATTTAATGTCTTTATTCCTGCAGCTTGAACTGGAGCAACAGAAAATTGAGGAGGAACAGGAGAACACCCCCGAGTTTGTGAAGATGAAAAGCAACCTGCGCAGGACCAAGCAGGAGACCGACGGGGAGGAACGAACCACCTAAAAAAAAACCCATCAGGGGTGGCTGGGTCTGGCTGACTGTGCACATTTTTGTGAGCACAGAGGCAACAGGAGTGTGTGTACAAAGGAGAGAGAGTGTGTTGTATCTGTGGTACACGGTGGTGACCATGATCTTGGACCTGGCTTTCCCAACCTAGCTGTTCCTTCGTGCAGTGAGGAGAGAGACTTTAAAGAATAAAGACCCACCCTCGGTCTGCCTGCAATGGACCGCCAGTACTCATACCCACCCAGCAGCACACAGCACCCCCCACAGGAGGACCTAACACATGTTACATGATTTTTTTCCACAAGGGCGAGCAAGCTTTCAAGGAGCTCTGAGGGAGATGCGACCAAACACACGCACACACAGACACACACACACAGGAGTATTTGTCCCCTATGTTTTTCACTCCTTTCTCCACAGCAAGCTCTCATTTCTCTTTACTGTTATTGATGTTGTCATTGTTATTGTTGTTGTTTTTTTTTTTTGTTTGTTCTCACATTCAGAATCAAAAAAAGGAAAAGCGGACACTGGATGGACTCTTGAAGCTGTGTAATGTAAAAGCCAAACAAATGTGCTTTTATTATTTATGTTCGTAGCTTTTAGCGCTGGTATAGGGGAGGACACTTTTAGTCATTCTGTTTTGTTTTGTTTTTTTGTTTTGTTTTTTTTTTTAAGTTTGTTTTACTGCATAGTATATGAAGCCAGAACAGGACAAAGGGAGTGCGTGGTTGTGTGAAACACTCGAATTCGCTTTATTTTTTTTAAATTGTACACATGCCATTTCCTCAGCTAATGCAATTTTGAGCAATAGTAAAACTCCCAGGCATGAGAGTGACTTTTCTTTATATATTCTGTTGTTTTCGTTTTGTTTTGTTTTGTATGAATAAAAGTGTTACTTAATAAATAATTTAAGTTTTGTGAGGCTGGTCAATCAGAATAAGCCCTGAGCTGTGTGTGTGTGTGTGTGTGTGCATGCGTGTGGGCTGGGGGTGTTTGTTTTTAAACAAACGTTTGGATGAAGCCAGGAAATAAACTTGAATGTGTTTACACATAATCCACCCATCATAAACAGGTCTGATATCAGCACGGCTCCTGAAATAACGCCCTGATAAACTTCTTGGAAGCTTATCCTTATCATCAGCAAAACCATAGATATTAGATATGTTAAATTAGTTGGGTGTGTTCTAAAAAAACAAAACAAAACAAAAAACAACCCTACTTTGGGCATAGAAATTTACATGCAGTATTATTCTGAGTGTGAAATCCTGGTGATACTCTCACAGAAAGAAGCAGATTTGCCAGTATATCCCAGTATTTCTCTCTAAAACCTTCGTTTCATTTTTTTTTAAAATATATTTTAATTTGTTGCTGCTGAATATGTGGGCTTTTGTTTTCCAATTATTTCCAAGTGAAACGTGGTGAGGAAATAGCAAGGCATGTCTTAGAACAGTCTCATATTAAAAGGTCTAGATCTTTAAGTCACTGATTTGAATGTTTATTTAACTTATACTTCAATTAATGTCTAAATCTTGAGCATTGCTAGAGCAGCAAAGTATATAAAAAGTATTGGGACATAACCTACAATCCATTATTTGAGACACTGTAAAGTAATGGTGTATGTGTATTTTATTATATTTTTGACACTTAGATTTTTAAATCAGTATAACTTCCTTTGGCTTTGCTGACAGTAATTTCGGCGTTGTACTGGAAAGATCAACTAAAATAGTAGTACACCTTCCACTTTATCACCAAGGTAATGTTAGACTTTATTTTACTGAGTTATTCAGCCACATGGGAAAAAACAACTCAGAAACAAAAATTTATTTTTCCTTTTTTAATATTAGATGATCTTTGAAGCTGAAACATGCCTTAAATGGTATAAAACTTTCAAACTGCCAAGAAATTTATTTTAAAATAATGCAGCATCGCTTCTAAGTCACTTTCCATTTCCATCTGTGGCAACTTTTAAAAAAAATCAACAGGGGTAGAAGTAATTTACTTTGGGCTTGAGTTTGGCATTTCTTTATTTTTTAAGAAATTTATTGATAGTTAAATTATAATAATAGTTTTTATAATAGCAAACCGAGCGTTCAAGAGGATCAATAACGATGATCGGTGGAGGGCAGTAAAGCGCCACTGATACCTCTCATATCAATGAAGAAGAAACATGCTCTCATCAGTGAGCGACAAACATGGCTGCCTGTTGGCTACTCCGTTCCCTCTCTTCCAACTTTTCTACAGTTTTGCCTTTACTCGCTCGTTCAGCGTCGCTTTCTCCATTGCAGCTGACATCTAAGCCTTATTTTGGGAGAACGCTAGCCTCTTCTAGCCGGTTGTCAGCAGGTATTCGACTATGCATGTCTTGTATTAGATAACATTAGCGACAGAAAGGACACGATAGCTGCAGCGTGTTTGAGTGTTTCTGTCATACTCGTCGAGGACTTCAAAATCCTCGCTAAGTTCTGAGTATGTTGTGTTATCTTGCAGCGCTTAAATTCACAGACAAACACGAATGGATTCGTGTGGAAGACGGAATCGGGACGGTCGGGATCAGCAACTTTGCACAAGTGAGTATTCCACCTTTGCGCGTGCACTTCACAGACCGGTGCCAAAATGTGATTTCCGGAATTTGCCAGAAGAAAAAAAGATGATTGCTGGTGTTGTCTTAATAAATTATCAACTGATAGTTGATTTCAGAGTTTTATGTGTAATGTGTTTAATTGTATTGGTAAATAGACTTTATATGTTATATATAAAAAATAAAGAAACGACCTGTTTCGCGAGTATCTTTATGACTCTGCATTATTGTATCTACATTATAATCAATCCAGTCCCTTTTTGGCCGCACAATATCTTTATAATAGTGTTATATTTGATGCTGCTTGGCCAGATTTTTATATGTCAAGAGACTTTTTAGCTGGATAAGTAAATGCTATGTAAATGTCACTTTGTCACAAACTGGTTTATATCATTCTTTAGAGATATGGTTGGCATATGTTTCATGTCTAGGCTGACAATGTTTTGGTAAATTACTCAAATCACTTTTTGAGACAACACTGATTAAAACTGCTATAAATGATTTGATGGCTTACAGTATGTGAAACATATTTCTCTTAAATGTTATCAATGTGTTTTGAAATAAACAGTCCAGTCACAGTAGCAGTAGAAGCTGCACTCAGTTTTTGTCAGAGGGACTTTTATGTGTCCTTTGTTTGTTCAGGTGTTTCATTAACATTAAAAATGTCTTTTTAAAAGCTATTTTAAGTGGCCAGAAGAGACTGGGTTTATTATTGTGTAAAACACACAGTAGGTAGGTACAATAATATAGTCATAAAGATACTTGTTATTTCTTTATTTCATATGTAGATTATGCTGAGTACAGCCTATTTCTCAATATAAGCAAATATATTAGACATAAAAACATAATCTTTTTTTTTTTTTGCAGGTGATGACTTTTTAGCACAATGGCACTGAAATATGTGCACATGCAAGGCAGATCCAAGATTTAAAGCTCTTTTAGTATGCAAGCTAATTAAGGCAATGCTCCCTCACATGGCCCCCAAAAAACTTAAATAACATATATTTACTGACATAAATATAAAGTACAGTTTTTAAACTGACATTTATTTAAAAGTTTAGAAAGTATATGTAGGACTGACAGTTGTCATTACACTTCTTGTGTGTGCACAACACTCAAACACCAGATAGCAGTGACTCAAATGTAAACACAGACATTCCTTTCCACAACATTTAAATAAAACGCAAATAACTGTTTTGTTTTGTTTTCTTAACATCATACTCTGGTTGTCCTGGCTAAATGTTTTTCCTAACTGCTTGCAGGAGGCATTGGGAGATGTAGTTTATTGTGGACTGCCAGAGGTGGGGACACAGCTGGCTCAGCAAGGTATGATGTTTGCTGAATGATAGTGAATATTATTAAGATGGGTATATAGCTTGATCTCATGCATGTCATCGCTGGATTTAGAGTCACCACAACGCAGGAAAGTGGATGGCCTCTTGTCCCTCATGACGTACTTTCTGAAATTTACTCCTGCAGATGAGTTTGGAGCTCTGGAAAGTGTAAAGGCAGCCAGCGAGCTTTATTCTCCTTTAACTGGAGAAGTTGTAGAGATCAACACGCTACTGGCAGACAACCCTGGTCTGGTCAATAAATCTTGCTACAAAGATGGTAAGTACACACATAAACGTCACAGTGCAGTTAGTGGAGGGTACTCTGGTATATGTATGAGACATTTTAGATCTTAAGAGCTTAAGAGAATTAACCAATGACATTACTCTTTGTGGTTTGTCAGAACATTGGCATTTTCTTTCGATTGGTGCATTTTTTTTCTATATAGATCACTGCTAAAACCTAATGTTTTTTAACTGTTTTATCACCCAGTATAATACGCGGCAGTAAGCTGCGAGGTTTAATCTCTGGACAGTAGATGGCAGTAATACAACACAACATAACAGTGAAGACAGGGTCTACATTAAGGCCATAAAGCTGGAGCTGTTCTATTGTTACATTACATTATATTTCATTAAAATGACCCTTCTTTGCACATTTTCTAACTAACATCTGAATATTTGATGTCCAGAGACATTGTATGTTTCAACCTCTTTTCCCTCACTGCATTCATTCCATTTTATTTAAGTTAATTAACTAACCCATCACAATTAACTTTATGGCCTTTGGTAGTAATGTACTGCAGACTGTTAAAATAACCTTTCACTTATAACATTCACTCACAGTCTGAAAGCAAAACATAAGCTGTTCACTGTGATGGACTATCGGTGTCAGTGACATTTACAAACATTTTCTCTTATAAGGTTTTTAGCTTATATCTTTAAACAATGCAAAGAACAAAAGACTCATATTCTCATACTCATATTTTGTGTAGTTTTGTTTTTTCATGTGAAGCATTTAATCCTCCAAGTACTGAAACCAGTGTGCATCTTTGAATCAGAGCTTAGCTTAACTTGATTTTTACACATCTATTATAGGTTGGCTCATGAAGATGAGCATTTCCAAACCTGCCGAGCTTGACAGTCTAATGGATGAAGCTGCATATGAGAGATACATCCATTCTATTGAGGACTGACATAACACCTTTCTGTATGTGCTGTGCACCTTCCCTTTTTCTCACAACACTGGCAGAGAGAGGTGCACAATATGTGCCTGTCCGTTAAAACGCAATACATAGCATTCTCCAGTGGAGCTCTGTAGCTCCAGGCTACTGATCTGTCAGTGCTGTAGAGCTGTGAACTTTAGAATTTCTTTACAGACTTAATTTAGGGGACCTTCCAGCCTGCATTGACCTAATATCCATTGTTGATTTCTTAAAGCATCAAACCACCAAAAGGTGGAAGAGACTGAGACTAGAATAAAATAGTTACAAATCATTTCATTGAAGGACTTGAAATTCTGTCCCGGGACACTGTTTGACTTAAAAAGCACTTTTGTCTTTATGGTATTAATTATTTTGATCTTCACTGCATGTATAAGGGTTAAACTGTGGACAGAGGACCCGTGTAATAAAAAATAAATAAACATTTCCTTAAAAAGTCTCTTTTCTTTGTCATTTATTTCTGAAATTTTTATATTTTATATACGGCTTAAAGAAAAAAAAATCGCACTAATATAAAGTATATGTATATACACCGCATTCCAAATTATTATGCAAATTGTGTTTAAGTGTCATAAAGATTAAATAAGTTGTTTTTCAATTAAACCCATGGATGGAATTGTGTCTCAGGACTCTTTGTATCATTGAAATCAATCTTGGACACCTATGATCATTAGCTTGCCAGGTGAGCCCAATTAAAGGAAAACTACTAAAGAAGGATGTTCCACATTATTAAGCAGATCACCATTTTAACAACATGCAACATAGGAAGGAAAAGTATCTCTCTGCTGCTGAA